TGCGTTTAAAATTTCGAAGCAAAATTTTCTCTTATGTGTGAAATTTTATATAAATGGACTACGATCCGTTTATGAATATAATAATAATAATAATAATATGATTTCTGATGGTGAATCGATTACAGGGCGACTTTGTGTTATTTATCAAATATTACTGTGTTTAAAATTTCGAAGCAAAATCTACATATGATGTCTGACGATAGATCGAGTATAGGGCGACTTTATTTTATCTATAAAATATTACCGCGTTTAAAATTTCGAAGCAAAATTTTCTCTTATATTTGAAATTTTATGTAAATGGACCTCGATCCGTTTATAAATAAAATAATAATAATAATAATAATATGACGTCTGTTGGTGAATCGAATACAGGGCAACTTTGTGTTATTTATCAAACATTACTGCGTTTAAAATTTCGAAGCAAAATCTACATATGATGTATGACGATGAATCTAGTATAGGACGGCTTTGTTTCATCTTTGGAATATTACCGCGTTTAAAATTTAAAAGACACGCCATTTTAATTTTGGAGAATAATTCGTCGATAACTAAAATGCATCAAAGAAGATGAACGTCACGAGCTCTCTCGAACCGTCTGTATTTCGCAAACTGAACATTCCATGTATGTACATTGTAACTTCATTAATTATCGATAAATGGACCATCCTGTTCAGCGATTAATTAATTCCTCGGACGTGAGATTCTTTGGCCGCTTTACGAGTTATCCTTCGAACGCTTATGAACGATTTCTCACGACTTGGCAAAACCTGCAACAAGTTTCTTTCCTTATTCGTCGAATAGATAGCATGCGCGCTGGATGCTAACGATCGCCGATTTCTTGGTACCCGAATCGAACGAGCCGGCGGCCGATCTTGGTCGGAAAAACACGATCTGTGTGACCGAGTCGGAGAACGACCGGTCGATTTTCATTTTAGACGAGTTCCCGCATTTGTGTGCCTTCAGCTGGTACCGTTCGCCATATTGACGGCCGCAGAAGTCGCACTTGTACGGCTTTTCGCCGATGTGACCGTAAATGTGCTTCGCCAGCTTCGTTTTCACGCTGAACCGAGACTTGCACAGGTCGCACTCGAATCGCTTCACCCCGGTGTGACGATACCTGTGCACCTTCAGGCCCCAGGACCTCCTGTAACACTTCCCGCAGTCCTCGCACTTGTAGGGCCTCACTCCTGCAAAGGAAACGTCCCGTTTCATTAAATTCCTTTCACCGAAATAATCACAACGTGACGCAGCGAGTGATTCTGTCTGCTCTCCATTGCTAAGGTCTGTTCTCACGTAACAGATATTTTTAGGGATTTTTTCGCGATCATGGCGCGGCTCAACCGCACTGCGCGAGATTTTTAAACTCGACTGGCACGCTTCACGTTTGAAGCGCGATAATTCAGTGAGAAAAAATCGTACGTTGGTTTTTGAGGAGTCTGTGCGTAGAAGAGACTTAGATCTTTGAATTCCTTGTGTAAAGAATCGCGAGAAAAATTTATCAATCTCCGTGGAGTCGTTCGAATTTGGAAAAGTTTGGAAGGGTAGACTCATCCTCGAATTTTGGTCTCGCGGTTAAGTACGAAAGCATGTTCGAAAATTTCGATGAAGACGCAAGAAAATAGGATCTTTAATCTTTAGAATGACCAAAGATTCGCTTCTGTACCATTTACTATTTTTTTTTCTTTTTTATAAATATTTTGGCTCAATTCGATAATATAATACTCGAGAATATTCCACATACCACGATGGTAAGCGCTTCATTGCTGCTACCACGATGTACACCTCCTATTCACCCAATTCCATCCGTAATTATGGCAAAATATGAATACGTAAAAATTTCGAATTTCTTTCCTGTGTACCTAGCTTAACAAGTAACGCGTAACGCCAGAGCCGAACTAAATTAGTTAAAGCACTGACGAACCACGGTTTATACCCGGAAACCTGCGTCGTGATTTTCTTAATTCGCCAGCGTTCCACTTGTCAGTGGTCGTAAAGTGCGAACAAAAAGGAAGCGATTAATGGAATAAATAATATAACAGCTGGTTCCTTCAGCGACCAACTTCTGGCCCATTATATTCCAGCGTTTACAACCGAAACGTTATCGACGTTTAAGTACACGTCTATCGTACATCGCGGAACACGATGAAACCCCCGTCGTGACGAGAAGGGGTTAATTGGCAGGCGTGTAAGACCCGTAGACCGCGAGTAATCCTTGATTTTCTAATTAATTCGACCCTTCCTCCGCTGTAACACAGTGGCGTAAGTGGCTAGCAGGCTTATCTTCGCGATTTTTATGTCTCAATACCAGCCTCGAATTTATACGAGGAAGCATAACCTTCGTCGAAGGAAGTTGGCTCGCTCTTCGTGTCGAGCAGTAGGTTCATCCGTTCATCCACGCGCATCTTCCTTCCGCGATATCGCGTGGATGTGAGAACATTCGCTTTACCCTGTCTGGCTAGCTCGCGTAGGCCGTCAGTCTTCACAGGGTTTTGACAATTCGGAAGCCATAACGCGAAGTGTATGCGAGGTATATGGAAAGTTTGACTGGGGTTCCAAGCGAAGGTATTTAACATCCCGTGATTTCACGGCTGAGATTAATTATTTTAGCTGTTCGATAGGGGATGTGGGATTTAATTAGGAAGAAATTGACACTGTTACTTTATCCATCGAAGAATCCCTGTCTTCATTCGCCTAAATTTATCGAATCATCGTACAATATTCTCAACTAAGCCAGTTTTTGACAATTTAGAAGCCATAACGCAAAGTATATATGAGAGATATGGAAACTTTGTTTGACTGGGGTTGGAAGCGAAGGTATTTAATATTTCCTAGTTTCGTGGCTGAGATCAATTATTATTCCAGCTATTTGATAGGAGATCTGGGATTTAATTACGGAGAAATCGACACTGCTATTTTACCCATAGGAGAATCCCTGTCGTTATTCGCCTAAATGCTATGGAACTGTCATACAATATTCTGAACGAAGCAAAAATTACACGAAGCTACTATAGGTAGTCTCTTCGCGCTGTCAGACTTCACCAGGTGTTGACTAATTCAGAAGCCATGATGCAAAGTACATGCGAGGTATTAAAGAAAAAATTAGTCAAAACTATCAGAGCTAACCTCTTAACGTTGTCGAACTTCGCCAGGTGTTGATTAATTCAGAAGCCATAATGCAAAGTACATGCGAGGTACATCGAAATTTTGTTTGACACGAATTGGAAGCGAAGGTATTTAATATGACATAGTTTTGCGGCTGAGATTAATTGTTCCAGTTGTTCGATAGAAGATCCGGGATTTAATTATTAAGAAATTGACAGTGCTATTTTATCCATCAGAAAATCTCTGTCTTTATTCGTCTAAATCCTACGGAACTGTCGAACAATATTTTGAACAAAGAAAAAATTAGTCAAAACTATCAGAGCTAACCTCTTAACGTTGTCGAACTTCGCCAGGTGTTGATTAATTCAGAAGCCATAATGCAAAGTACATGCGAGGTACATCGAAATTTTGTTTGACACGAATTGGAAGCGAAGGTATTTAATATGACATAGTTTTGCGGCTGAGATTAATTGTTCCAGTTGTTCGATAGAAGATCCGGGATTTAATTATTAAGAAATTGACAGTGCTATTTTATCCATCAGAAAATCTCTGTCTTTATTCGTCTAAATCCTACGGAACTGTCGAACAATATTTTGAACAAAGAAAAAATTAGTCAAAACTATCAGAGCTAACCTCTTAACGTTGTCGAACTTCGCCAGGTGTTGATTAATTCAGAAGCCATAATGCAAAGTACATGCGAGGTACATCGAAATTTTGTTTGACACGAATTGGAAGCGAAGGTATTTAATATGACATAGTTTTGCGGCTGAGATTAATTGTTCCAGTTGTTCGATAGAAGATCCGGGATTTAATTATTAAGAAATTGACAGTGCTATTTTATCCATCAGAAAATCTCTGTCTTTATTCGTCTAAATCCTACGGAACTGTCGAACAATATTTTGAACAAAGAAAAAATTAGTCAAAACTATCAGAGCTAACCTCTTAACGTTGTCGAACTTCGCCAGGTGTTGATTAATTCAGAAGCCATAATGCAAAGTACATGCGAGGTACATCGAAATTTTGTTTGACACGAATTGGAAGCGAAGGTATTTAATATGACATAGTTTTGCGGCTGAGATTAATTGTTCCAGTTGTTCGATAGAAGATCCGGGATTTAATTATTAAGAAATTGACAGTGCTATTTTATCCATCAGAAAGTCTCTGTCTTCATTCGCCTAAATCCTACGGAACTGTCGTACAATATTTTGAAGAAAGAAAAAATTAGTCAAAGCTATCAGAGCTAACCTCTTAACGTTGTCGAACTTCGCCAGGTTTTGACAATTCAGAAACCACAACGCAAAGTATATGCGAGGTATATGGAAACTTTGTTTGACACGAGTTAGAAGCGAAGGTATTTAATATCTCACAATCTCGCGGCTGAGATTAATTATTATTCCAGCTGTTCGATAGGAGATCTAGGACTTAAGCTGAAATCGACACTGCTACTTTGCTCATGCTGTCAGACTTCACCAGGTGTTGACTAATTCAGAAGTCATGATGCAAAGTACATGCGAGGTATATCGAAATTTTGTTTGACACAAATTGGAAGCGAAGGTATTTAATATGACATAGTTTTGCGGCTGAGATTAATTGTTCCAGTTGTTCGATAGGAGATCCGGGATTTAATTATTAAGAAATTGACAGTGCTATTTTATCCATCAGAAAGTCTCTGTCTTCATTCGCCTAAATCCTACGGAACTGTCGTACAATATTTTGAAGAAAGAAAAAATTAGTCAAAGCTATCAGAGCTAACCTCTTAACGTTGTCGAACTTCGCCAGGTTTTGACAATTCAGAAACCACAACGCAAAGTATATGCGAGGTATATGGAAACTTTGTTTGACACGAGTTAGAAGCGAAGGTATTTAATATCTCACAATCTCGCGGCTGAGATTAATTATTATTCCAGCTGTTCGATAGGAGATCTAGGACTTAAGCTGAAATCGACACTGCTACTTTGCTCATCGTGGAATCCCTGTCTTCGTTCTCCTAAATGCAACAAACTGTCATACAACATTCCGAACAAAGAGAAATTTACCGAAGCTACCAGAAACAGCGAAAAACTCTTACCATAGTGGGACAGAATGTGGTGCTTCAAGGCGCCCTTGAGATGAAACCGGTGCTTGCAGATGTCGCACTCGAACCTTCTGACACCGGTGTGCGTGAGCTTGTGCGTCTTCAGCACGGAGGACCTCTTGAACTTGGCGGGACAAAGGTCGCACTCGAAGGGCGAGTCCGCGGTGTGAACGATCATGTGTGCCCTGAGGCTGCTCGGTCGTAGGAACCTCTTCTTGCAGATGGAGCACTCGAACGGCTTCACGTTCGTGTGCATCAGCTTGTGATCGCGCAACGACTGCCGATGGAGCAGCTTCTTCTTGCACACGCCGCACTCGAACGGCCTTCGGCTCGAGTGCACCTCCGCCTGGTGCGTCCTCAGCTGGTCCCTCTGCTGGAATTCGAGGCGAGTCGCGCGGTAATTGATCGCGTTTTGTAGAAAGACTGGTGTCGATCTTGTTCCCCGTTGCTGTTCTCGAGCGTTTTTACCGGCACGGCGGAAGAAAACGTGCAAGCGCGAGAGCATACCTGAAATCGGAGGCTGCAGTGCCTGCACATGAACGCTTTCAGCGCCTCGTGGAGCCTCAGGTGATCCTTCAGAGCCGACGACCTTGAAGCGAGAGACGTTACACGGAGACAAAGTGGAACCGGAGAATTCGCGTGTGTAGCGACTTACCGTGAGAACTGCTTCGCGCAGAGGCCACACTGGAACAATTTTCCGTGGCTGTGACCCACCATGTGCGTCTTGAACTCGGCCTCGTCGGGGAACTCGATCCTGCACACGCTGCAGATCAAGCGTGTCCCGGTGGTTAGCGCTGCTATGTATTCCTCGAAATCCACGTACTCTTCCAGCGTGATTTCTCTCTTAACCAAAGACAAGCTTCCTCTTTTTCCGTACTTCTCGTGCATACGAGTCAGTCCCTGATTCTGCGGATTCCGCGCCACCTTTCTGCACCCGGGCTCGTAAGAAACCTCGACGTGCAGCTCGTCGTTGGCCGAGAAATTCTCGATCTCGTCGAGCACCTCGGTCTTGATTTTCACCTTGTTCGAGCGGAAAAAGTCGGCTGATTTTCATATCGCACGCGCGGTTTCCCTCGACGTAATCGCGTGCCGCGATCTCCCCGGTTTCGTGGACATTGCATATGCAGGATATTAGATAATTTCGCGCGCGCTTCCGCGAGAAATGGCGGCTCCGCGAAAGGAGGCGCTCCGCGAGGAGTGCGTTAACGACTCGGTGCTCGATTACGTAAAACGAAACGAAAGAAAAGATGGAGGGAAAAGTGCAGGAAAAAGCGTCGAGCAGGGGAAAAACGCGGAGAAAAGGGAAAAACGTTGCGTCGCGTGCGTTTGAAAATGGCTGCTCTTGCGCAACCGATTATGCAATTAGCGAGTGGATAGAGCAACGAAATAACGGTGGTTGTAAATCGGAGTGGCTATTTTGCCAACTGAGCTGTCGGTGCGCTATCATAACCTAATCGCTGTCACACCTCAGAGAACCTACTTCTTCGCAGCGCTCGCAACGCTTCTGCGAGCCTATTATCTTCACTTCATCGTCCTCCTCGTCGTCTTCGACGTCCTCACGGTCTCCATCTTCGTTTCTCGTTATGTCCTCGCTGTTTTCCAACATGTCGCGTTCCTAATTCGGCTGAACGAAAGCAAACGCGTGAAGGAGGCGAGAGGAGTTCGAGAAACAACGAAGCAACGACGAATTTCAGGCGTGTTAATATCTCGTTGCACGACTTTTGTACTTTTTCCTCGGATATCGAACGTAAGGTGTTCCCAAAAGATTCGGTAAACTAGGTGAAGATGGCTTCTCAGACCAGTCACCGCTTTACCTCAGATTGCTTATGCAAACACAGGTGTGGCTACATTCCGACGTAGCTCGTGTATCCATTAGGCCTGGTACAGGCGACCGATGCGACATCCGTGATATTCAACGATCACGCCGCGAGATATGGCAGATTCGTGTCTCTAATGCCGTCATAACGATACAATGCGCAGAGCCTAGGCTTAGAGGTGCGACTCTCGGTGTCACGAATGGGAAGACGTAACGCGACATCATGGATGTCATATTTCCAATAGCACGAACACGTTATGCGTCGAAATTCGTCAAATCGTGCAGTGAATATCGCAAACATCGCGATAAGACATGTCTCCTTTGCTTCTTTCGCAACGCGATCTAGAGATCCTGATATCTGCCAAAGTGGCTATAGCAATCCAATTGTTTCTGAATAATTTTTTGGCTCACCACAATATTAGTCGAAGCTGTCAATACTATCAAACTATTCTGTCAACAATTATAGGAGAATTAAAATGCACTTATCATCGTCAGAAATACGTCTGGACACATAAGATCGCGACACGTATGCGTCGGTCATTGCGTGTCTAATGACACGAACTTATCGTTACGCTATCATTATGAATACGTTTAAATTGTCAAATCGTGCAGTGAATATCGCAAAAATGGTAACACGACATGGCTCCTTTGCATCTTTTGCAACGCGATCCACAGATCCTAATGTCTGTCAAAGTGTCTATAGCATTCCAATAGTTTCTGAAAAATTGTTTGACTCACCACGATATTAGTTGAGAATGTCAATACGATCAAATTATTCTGTCAAAACCTATAGGGGAGTCAAAATGCACTTGTCATCGTTAGAAATACGTCTGGAAACATAAGGTCGCGATGAAATCGTGCAATACATATGCACCGGTCATTGCGTGTCTAATAACACGATCCTATCATCGTGCAATCACCAGGAATACGTTTGAACTGTCAAATCGTGCAGAGTCCGAATAGCAATTTCGCGATATCGCCTATCTGATCTAACATCGCGTTTCCAATTATACCATCGCGTATGACTCGTAATTGTGAATGCGGCTAAATTTAGAACATGGCGAGATATCGTGGGTACGGATATTTACAATAACAAGCAAATCAAACCTATAGTGTCGCGAAATCTCGAGAACGTCTATGCGCATCTCGATGAAAAGAAAGATGGCGCCGAAGGCTCGCAAAGCAACGGACTAGCGTCGGAACAAAGCCGAGTCTGCGCGGGAGATTCACGGTCTGGGATCTAGGTTCGATCGGCGATGCGTCGATGTTTGTTTTTTAATGTAATCGCGACGCGGGGCTTAATTAGGCGATCAGCGATCCCGTGGAATAGCGTGTAAAGTATTTGTATCCCCTAATTACGAGACTTGTTAGCGGGGGCGGCGCTCGGATACTTTATTGGCCCGTAAAAGGCAAATAAAAGCTACAATGAGACGTGGCTAGGCTGAAAACCGAGGAAGCATAAGCTGATAGGAGTAATTAGCGTGCGGCAAGGTGGCCGCGGTTTCAGTGTACTAATCAGAGCGCTGCGAAAGATGCATAACGTGCAGGCTATGAGTTTACGCGATCGTGTGCGTTTAAACGCGAGCGCGCGCTCCTGCTCTGGCCAAAAGTGCGCCGCACTCGCTCGTCTGTAAACTCATAAATAATTATCTCGATATTCGTGAAACGATCTAGACCAGACGAACGAGCTAATTAATTAGAATATAAAAACCAAGCGTAGAGTTCACGTTGCTCGCGATGGAATAGCGGTTCGCCGAGGCGAACACGCCGGTGTTCCTCCCCCGTCATCGCGACGCTTCTGAATATTCGATCGCGATCTGGGATCGACCAAGAGACTGCTGATACCATTCTATGCATATTAAAATTACCGAGTCCTCGGGATACACATCTCCGTGATATCCACCGCGATAATGCAACAGTCTCGCTCCGGCCGAGGCTTTATCGACCTGCAATCTTGTACAAACATCCAGTTTCGAGTTTATCTAGCCACGACGATAACGATAAGAGGCTCGCTCAGCGATTGTTCAGCGCTCAAGGTCTTCACCGAATTTCAATTAATTATCGCCATTATGACGAACGACGAATTATCGAATTCTCGGAACCCCGCGCCACCCTTCTCTGTTCCTGTCCCGATTCCGAACCCGATCGAGATTCGAATAATCGTGTGATCAAGATCCTCGAACGCGAAGGTCAAGCTTGGACCTTGAACGAAGATCTTCGCGGTCTCTTCGGGCACACCTCGATGACGGCCGATCGAGAATTATTCCTCGCGAGTGCGGGACTTCTTTGCGAACGACCTGCACCTGCAACGGTGCAAGAAATTGGCCAGAGTGTTCACAATGCAACATCGAGGAAGCTGTCCCATCCTAACGTCCTGTTTCCCAACATTCTCGACCACCATCGACGCCACGCCGGGACGAGGATTTCAGTGGAAACTCCTTAGCAGCGGTCAGACGCGCGCGCGACGCGATTTCCAAGTGCCTTGAACTCGAGGCTGGGTTCGCGCGAAAAGAGAGGAGGGAAAAAGGAAAAGGACGGAAAAAAAGGCACGAGGCGTCGTGGGAAACGCGGCTGAAATTTCGAGACGGCGTGTATGTATGCAAACGTCGCGTTTTCCTCGCGAGACGCTCATGCAATATTAAAAAGGGATCGGTTAATTGAGACTCCCGGGGGCACCTTAATTAGGGAAATTCAGATTCCCAGCTTTTGGTTTCTTCCCCGTTCAGGCTGTTGCTATCGGTTTGTATAATCGAACGCGGCTTCCTCCTTCTCCTTCCTCGTTCTTCCACGGCCAAATTTAACCTAGAAAAGAGGGAAAAAATAAATATGAATCGTGGAGGAAAATTAAGAGAGATAATAAGCATTCGTTTGTGTAACAATACCGTGAGGTTTCCTTCTACTCCTTCTGCATTTCTCCACGTTCGAGTTTAACCTAAAGAGAGCGGAAGATATTAGGAAAAATATATATGAGTTGTAAGAATGATTAAGGAAAGCAATTGTGATAGTCGTCGGTTGGTATGATCGCACCCTTTCTTCTCGTTTTCAAAGATTCAAATTCAACCTACAAGAGAGGGAAAAATAAATATAAATTGCGAAAGAATATTGAGAGATGATAACTATAGATTTGTATAATAATACCTCGCGATTTTCTCCTCCTTTTTCATTTTTCGCTCTTCGAATTTGACCTAAAAAGAGGAGGAGAAATTAGGAAAATTATATATAAATTATAAGAATGATTGAAGAATAGAATAGTAATAATTATCAGTTAGTGTAATCATACCAGGTGGCTTTCCTTCCTTTCTTCTCGTTTTCAAAGATTCAAATTCAACCTACAAGAGAGGGAAAAATAAATATAAATTGCGAAAGAATATTGAGAGATGATAAGTATAGATTTGTATAATAATACCTCGCGATTTTCTCCTCCTTTTTCATTTTTCGCTCTTCGAATTTGACCTAAAAAGAGGAGGAGAAATTAGGAAAATTATATATAAATTATAAGAATGATTGAAGAATAAAATAGTAATAATTATCAGTTAGTGTAATCATACCAGGTGGCTTTCCTTCCTTTCTTCTCGTTTTCAAAGATTCAAATTCAACCTACAAGAGAGGGAAGAATAAATATAAATTGCGAAAGAATATTGAGAGATGATAACTATAGATTTGTATAATAATACCTCGCGATTTTCTCCTCCTTTTTCATTTTTCGCTCTTCGAATTTGACCTAAAAAGAGGAGGAGAAATTAGGAAAATTATATATAAATTATAAGAACGATTGAAGAATAGAATAGTAATAATTATCAGTTAGTGTAATCATACCAGGTGGCTTTGCTTCCTTTCTTCTCGTTCTCAAATATCCAAATTCAACCTAAAAGAGAGGGAGAAATAAATATTAATCATGAAAGAATATTAGGAGAGCTGATAACCATAAGTTTGTATACTAATACCTCGTAATTCTCTTCTTCTTCTCCTTCTTCTTCTTCATTTTTCGTTGTTTAAATTGAACTTAGAAAGAGGAAAAGAAATTTGGAAAAATATATATTAATTACAGGAATAATTAAAGTAAGGAATGGTAATAATCTCGGTTAGTATAATTGTACCAGGTAGTTTCTTTCTGATCCTTCCTTCTTGTTCCTCGCCATCCAAATTTAACCTAAAAAGAAGAAAATAAAAATTAGCAAAAATAAATATAAAATATAAAAAGGAATTATGAAAGAATAGTAAACATAGGTTTGTATGACTAATACCTCGCAATTCTCTTCTACTTCTTTATTTTTCGCCGTTCTAATTTGGCCTAGAATGAGCAGAAGAAATTTGGAAAAATTAATTATGAGAATAATTAAAAGAGAGAATAGTAATAATTGTTGGTTAGTACAATCGTACCAGGTGACTTTCTTCGTTTCCTTCTATCTCATTTTTAAATATCCAAATTCAATATAAAAGAGATGGAAATATAAATATAAATAATGAAAGAATATTAAAAGAGCTAGTAACCATAAGTTTGTGTACTAATATCTCGCAATTCTCTTCTTCCTCTTTTTCACTTTTTGCCGTTAAAATTTAACTTAGAAAGAGAAAAAGAAATTTGGAAATATGTATATAAATTACAAGAATAGTTAAAGAAAAGAATAATAATAATCGTCGATTAATAGTCTGTTCTTTCTCGTGTCTCTCTATGCAAATTTAATCTAAAGGAAGAAAATAATAATTAGCAGAAATAAATATAAAATATAAAACAAAATTAAAAAGAAACAATAACCATAAGTTTGTATAATAATACCACGCGTTCTCGT